ATACCCTTAAGTGATCTATTTTGGATGGCTTGCGATACAATAACTCATAAAGTGATCTTCCTTGCAAAATACTAGTGGGCAGTTTGTTTATCAAGTATACTGCAGTTCTTACACAATTACCCCAGAACCTCCTAGGAATCGAGCTTTGGAATTTTAAGGCTCTTGCAACCTCCAGTATATGCCTATGTTTCCATTCAATCACCCCATTTTGTTGTGGGGTGTATGGACAACTACTTTGGTGTATGATTCCCAGAGAAGCAAACAAACCATTGCATTGAGAGTTGAAGAACTCAGTACCATTATCTAATCTAACAACTTTCACAGTAGCTTCAAACTGAGTGTTTATCATTGCAAAAAAGTTCTTTATTACAACAACTACTTCTCATATGTAGGTACCTTATGAGGTCCCCAAATATCCATGTGTATGAGCTGAAAACAACTACTTGACCTGGTCCTACTAAGTGGAAACTATAGTTGACATTGCCTTGCCAAGTGGCACACCTCACAATTGTCCTGCTCTCTAGCTTGTATCTTATTCTTTAGTTCTGAAATATGCTGCATAGATTTTGTTGATGCATGACCTAGCCTCAAATGCCATAGTGCTGTTTCTCCATTTTCCTTCAAAAAACTAATTGCTGCTGTTGGTAAATTTTCTTTTATCAAGTATAATCCGCTGTTTTCTCTACCAATCCCCATCACCTTGCCATTGTAGAGCCCCTGAAATATACAGAAATCAGGGTAAAAACCAAATGGGAAACATAACTGTCTAGTGAGTTTTGACACTGACAATAAGTTAAATTTAAAATCTGACACATACAGAACTCCTTCAATAGTTTTATTCCCTAAAACTACTGCATCTCCTGTATGTGTAATTTCTGCTTTACTGCTTGTAGGTGACTGTACTCCATCTATTCTATGATCTGCTTTTCTAAGATTACCTAAAGCATTCTTGCAATGTGTCACATGGTGAGTACCACCTAAGTCCCCTATCCAAACATGATCATTAGCAGTTGCATTTGCCATTAAAGTGATAAAACCTGGACTATTGTTGGAACAGTCATTTGTGGTAGTCTTCTGCAACAAATTCACCAGCTGTTTTGTATTGATCCTTAGTGAAGAAATTTTCTTGTGTTGGCAGCATAAGTGCCTGTTTCTCCTCACTTGTTGCATTGTTCACATAAGTCATGCCTCATGTGTTTTGCCCTTTCTTCTTACTCCTGAAATCTGGTAGATATGCCATTATTTTGTAATAATTTTCTTTGAGGTGTCCCTTATAACCACAATAGTCGCAGATTAATCCTGGCCTCTTAGGTCTAAACTCATGACCTTTTTCTGCCAGCATTGTAAGAGGATCCTTCAATTTGTCTGTGACTACTAGAGTTCTTTGACTTTCTTCTTGTGTAACTATTGCATAAGCTTCATTCACTGTGATCACATGTCTTTTGGCCAAGACATTATTTCAAATATTACCATAACTTTCGTTCAATCCCATGAGGAACTGCAATAGGCGAATGTTCTTTAAGAGCTCTACTGAAGGCCTGGACTCCTCACAGTCACATGAGGCTAGAGGTGCTATGACATCTAGTTCATCCCATAGGTCCTTTCATTTTTGAATAATAGCTAGTGACCGAGTCAGTTCTTTGTCTCAAAGTCGCAATAGCAGTCCAAAGATGATAGATCCTTATCAGATTTGACCTATCAAATCTCTCCTAGAAATCAGCCCATACCTTTTTTGCATTCGATGCATTTACAATGCTAGACATTAGTTCATTTGAAACAGTACTACAAATTCATGAGAGAATAATTGCGTTACATTTCTCCCATTGCTATGCTCATTCACCTCTATACATACATTTTACACAAGATTCATCTACAAATCCAAGCTTGCCCTTTCCCCGGAGAGCCAATTTCATCGTTCTGCTCTACAGTGCGTAGTTTTTTGGACCTGTGAGCTTGAGCGAAATTAAAACGAATCCTGGAGCGTCTGAAGCTTGTAAAAACAACAGATGATTATGATCGAGTGAACTGACTTCGTTATCTGCCATGGCTGCTTGAAATTGAGCTCGGAATTGAAGAATTTCTTAGCTCTGTATTTCGCCTCTGTGTTTTGCCGGAAAAACTTGAATCTCGCTGGAAATAGATCGGAATTACAGTCCTACCGATTCCCGCTTTGATACCATGTTAGATTATGGGTGAGGAAGAAGATTGAGAAATGAAGAAGTGGAGAAATCGAAATTGTATTTTTTCTGAGAGCAATGTCATCGTTCAATACAAGGCTATATAGTGCTCACTAACTAAATGACAGCTCATACACAACTGTCCACTAACCACTTTAACTAACCCTTTTAACTAACTCTAAAACACCCTATACTTTTATGATGTACACTTTGGTACCCCTATATCCCAAAAGAGAAGCTACTAACTTGACATATTTGGTAAAGATAGTGCCTTTGAAATCACTCTTCGAATATTGGCTTACGCTTGTGGAGAGTGCAAAAGAAAAAACCAAATACGTACTCACAAACAGAATTGGTAACATAATGAGTAGCAAAACCAACGACTTGGAAAGAAGATCAATTTCCAATCTGCATATAGTCAGGCATTCCCATTATCCCATATATTTATGCCATCCCTCGTAATGTATTTAGCTTATATATCAATAATTCAACCTTTTCTTTCTAATCCGTGCACTTACGAATAAAGAAATTTCGATTCAGAGTGTATACTAACAAAATCACTTCTTCTTTGAACAGTAAAGAAAAACGAAGCGTACACGATTTTTCTAAAAGCCAACAGAAATAATCCACGTCTTATTAATGGGAGTCCAAACAAAATAATTTCTAAGCATAGTTGTCCATTTCATTTTGTAGTATAACAGTGCCACCAAATTAGCTATCCCCATCAATCGAGCTGTTGAAAGTGACTGCTCTTATGGTTCAACTTTTTGCACCCCGAAAATTTTAAAACGATGTATCTTAATAACTTTATTAAAAGTAATTGTTATTACAATAAGTGATCTAAGATTCAATATCTTTATATTTTCTGAGAGAGTATTACAAGATTGATGCCATAGTGTAAGTTTTTCTGTAAAGCAATGAGGATAATTTGTATTTTTGGTCTCTAGGAAGATAATAAAACACTCGATCATATTGACCAACCTAAGCAACTAACAAGAAAGAGAAAATATACAGTATGTTTTTACTACTCCTATTAGTGTTACTTTGAGTCTTACATGTTAAGATTAGTATTGAGTAACTAAAAAATATCTGTTTTATTATTTAAGTTTAATATGTCAGACTAATATAATTAAGTTTTTGTAATAATAATGGAAAATTTACCTAGCTAGCTATACTATAATAGAAACTTATCTACCACTTTTATTTAGGTTCTTACTTAATCACAATGTATAACTATAGTTACCATTTATGCACAAAATCATAAAAAAGAAGAAAATAGAAGATTCCTTAAATTTAGCATTTCATTCTCTCTCCTTCACTACCCCCTACTAAAAATTCGAATTTCATCTATTTTTCAAAATAGTTCACATCCCATTTTCTTTCCCTCGTAATTATCATCCAAAATGGGTACTCTCACAATGTAAACCAAAATGGTAAAAATTTGTCTCTAAAATTACAGTAGTAAAGGGTTCTCCATCGACATCCATTAAAAAGTTTCGAAACTTTGAATTCAATATTCGAAATTTTCGAATTTATGATTTGTTTATTGGGTGTTCTTGCAAATGATGGAGAATATACCTTGTAGTTTGTATCTCATTTTTGAGAAAAATTCGTTAAGTTTAGAGTTGATTTTATGTAAAATTTCAGATTGAAACTCGATTAAAACGAAGATGCTGGAATTGTATGATAAATGTATCACAATTATTTTAGAATTGCATCACAATTGTATTAAAGTTGTAAGTTACTTGTATCTGATACATTAATACCTAAAATAATATCCGATAAAATTAACTCTATACTCAACCAATCTCCCTCAAAATAGAGATATAAATTCCAATCTCCCTCAATCACTTGCAAGAACATCCAATCCAAACAAATCACAAAATCTGAAATTGTATGTATGTATGTTCGAGAGTCATATGTATTTTTGGTTTTCGAATGGACCAATTTGTGGATGGGTGTGTTAGGCAAACAAACTAAAGAAATAGGGAAAGGAAAAAAAAAAGGAGAGAGGAGAGGAGAGGAAAAAAGGGAAATGATTGAATTGAATCCCTCAATTAAAGGTACTAATAATAGGGTGAGAGCCTTTTAAGGGGCAATATGTATAATTTGTAAGAAAATCTAAATACTTATTGAAAACTACAAAAACCGAAAGAAAATAGGTAAATAAGTTTTGGTGTGATACATTTTGGGTATTAATGAGTTAATGAAAAAGCCATTGAATGGAAGGAGTTGGGTCCAGGCCCAAATTTCCTTCAAGCAGATTGTGTGAATTACAAGCCCATGACCTCAATTCGAATCCACCTTCGAATGCTTCAACCCAAAGTTCAATTTCTGCGAGAATCCCTCGCGCTAACTTCGCTTCTCCTTCTCTTTCTTCTACTAGCTCCTCCAAGTTCTCCAACCAATCACTACCAATTAACTGGTAAGGAAAAATTAATGCTAGTTCGTCTGTTTAACTTCTATAGACTGATAATGTAAAATATTAGGTCAACATAACTAAAAATAATTACTACCTTTGTTTCAATTTATGTGAACTTGTTTGAATGAACACAAAGTTAAAAAAAAAATGAAGACTTTTGAAATTTGTGGTCCTAAACAATTTAAAAAAGAGCCCAGAGTATTTGTGTGGTTATAAAAGCTTCTCATTAAGGGTAAAATTGTAAATTTAAGCAAAATTATTTTCAAATTTAGAAAAGGGTAATTCTTTTTGAAACGGACCAAAAAGAAAATAGGTTCACATAAACTGAAACGGAGGAGAAGGTAATACTTATAATCAGTAAACTTGGTAACCTGAAAACCATGACAAATATCCTCCTTCATCATAACATGACGTAGGTGTTGCACCGACCGCGTAAAAATGTTTACACATTAAGGTCATTTGTAAGCATTAAGTGGTAATCCGTAACCTAGTAAAAACGGTAACTAAAATGATATTACCTGTTAAATTTACATTGCTTGTGGTAAACGACTTTATACTGTTAATGTACATAAACTTAATTAGTTATCTACGGATCTGGTCTTTTCAGCATCCTTTGCAGCATTCAGGCATCATCATCCGTTCTTGATCAGAGCACTGCAACTAGTGAACTGGGAAAAGGGATAAGCTCCTCATAAGCTCCAAAATCATCTCATTTGAGCTGTGAAGAACTCTTCATTCTCCTAGTGAAATTGAATTGGCTAGCTCTGTCTTTGTAGAGGGCCATGAATTTCATACAACAAAGCATCATTATCCTCCCAAAACACTTTCTGTGTCATAATAAGAATCAATCGATGCAGAGGGATGATGCCGATGAACAGAGCCATGATCTTGTTGGGTGTCATAATATCTGCAAGAATGAAATGACGATGCAGAGGGATGACGCCGATGAAAAGAGCCACCTTGTTCAGAATCATGAAATGACTCCTCAATGAAAGGTGGCTTTGATGGAACAGGCACTTCTAATTCCTTTTGTGTGAGTAGTTTAATAACAGTTGTCATATCTGGACGCATAATAGGTGACTCTTGAGTACATAACAGCGCGATTTGAATCACCCTTAGTACTTCATCCACATCTTCTATCTCCATGCTCGGATCTATTAGTCGAGATACCCTTTTCTCCTTAAAATGTCTCCAAGCCTGCACGTTAAATTAACAAGATTATCTCAAATGCAGTCTGTTGAACTTGGCAATATAACAAAAGCAAGGATTTAAGTGTGCAAAATCTTTTTATACAACGACTGTAGCGCTTAACCTGTTATAGCAAGTTAGGTATCATAGAGACTTTACCTAACTTACCTGATTGTGGAAGTATTTTTATACCTTCAGTGGTTATAACTTAAAGCTAGAAGTAAATGGGAAAAACAAAGTGTTCTGAAGAGAAATTACAATGGTTACAAGGGTGTCTAGTGTGTCATCGGCTGGAAATTTGTTAATCTCCCGGCCGCTTACTATTTCTAGGATGAGAACTCCAAAGCTATAAACATCCACTTTGTCAGTCAATTGTCCATGAGCAAGGTACTCAGGAGCCATGTATCCGCTGCAGGTAAAGGATTAGCACAGGTAAGGACAAAATGAAGAATGACAATATGTTAATCCAAATTCAAGTGCTTCATTACATACTTACAATGTGCCTGCAATAACAAGAGGCGCACTTCCTTGTTCCCTGATATTAAACCTGGCAAGCCCAACAAAAAACAAACAACAAAAACGACGTTTGAATTTCTAAGCAAGTTAGAGTCCAATATATGACTCACTGTCCATGTTGCTCCATTCAAGCTCATCTCAATCCAATATTATACAAGGCAAAAATAAAAATAAATATAGACACCAGAAGTACTCCATATTTTCTCGTGACATGAATCTGGAAGAGGACTAAAGGACTCTTAGAAAGCAATGGACCTAAAGTTAATGCACTAACCTGGCAAGACCAAAATCTGCAATTTTGGGACGGTACTTTGAGTCTAGTAAGATGTTACTAGGTTTGATGTCTCTGTGGATGATTCGAACTTGGCAATCGTTGTGAAGGTATTCTAAACCTTCAGCTGTTCCTTCGATTATCCTGAGCCTTCTCTTCCAATCTAATTCTTTCTTTTTCTTTGGATCTTTCTTTCATGCATATAGTCAAGAAAATCAAGTTACTGGGATAATATATAGTAGTAACTTCTAATTACATATGACACAGCATTTGTTTCTATCCTTTCCGAGAAAGGAGTAAAAGGATTAAAGATCTAAAGAACAAATTACGTACCGAATAAGATAAGATCAAGGCTTTTATTTTCCAGATACTCATAAACAAGAAAGCTGTCATCATCAGTGAAACAACAACCAAGGAAACGAACCAAATTCTGGTGTTGAGCTTGTCCGATAATGTCTATCTCATTGGATATCTCTTCATTCCGAATCTTGGTAGTTAAGAACATTCGTTTGATAGCAATTTCTCTACCATCTGGCAAAGTCCCCTACTTCAGAAACATTTTAAACTTATTTAGCAGAACTACCACTGTCAAAGCAGAGAAGCAAAATAGGGGAAAAAAGAATAAAAAGGCAGTAGTATGTATTTATACTTTAAAGACTTCACCAAATCCACCTTGGCCAATCTTGCATTCTTCACTGAAGTTGTCTGTAGCTTTCTCCAGTGTTGAATATTTGAAATGCAGGCTCCTCTTCATAACAGATGACTCAAGATCTGATTCTTCAAGAGAGTAAGTAAAACAGAAAATTAATGAAGATTAGACCAAAATGATCTCTGCAACAAACACTAAGACTGGATTACCATTAGGTTTCTTCTGGTGTTTCAATCGTTTTTCTTGAAGAGTTGTACCCACAATATATCCAACCAGAACAGCGACTACGCATACACCAACAGCAACAAGAACAAATACAACGTACATGAAAATGGCTCCTGCAAAATGACTTCCTTCTTAAATGAGTTTAACTTTTGTGCACTAAAAGTGTATATTATTATACACTATCTAGTTAACTTACAATAAGTAACTAGTTATAGCAAGATATATTGTTCGAACTCTCTGAAAATAGCGTCAGTTGTATGTCGGATCCTCCAAAAGTAATGCATTTTTGGAGGATCCAACACGGGTGCGAATAACATTTTGGAGAGCGCAGCGTAATAGTAGGTGTAGTAGAGTAACCTGGAAAAAGAATACATAGCTGCTGATTGTGTAAAGCATCTTATACTATCAATGTATATAAGTTAAATCCTTCATTTTCTAAAATGCATGCAGCTGACCTTTAGTATTAAGAAAGAAACTCGAACCATCGGTAAATTCGTATTCCGAGTAACGAAAATAGCAGCCAACGCTAAGGGCGCGCGCCTCAATGGATGGCAAACAATCAAGGAGAGATGTGCTTGCGTTTGTCAGACAATCGTTACATGATTTTTCGTCCAAAGTATTCCAGCAGTTAGCCATGCCATAAACTGATAAACCATGGGCTTTCCTTCGTCCCTCTGCATAGCCACCGTGAATTGGGGCCATGTTTACCAAATCCTTGACGACTTTGGTTGCCACATCCCTAAATTGCTCATTCTTCAAGTTCACTGCATCGCTGCATCTCTTTTTATCAAATTTAACCAAAAAGGAGAACCATGAGAACCAAGAACAAGCAAGCCAAAGTTATGTCTATTAAGATATTATTAGTTATATAAAAGTATACTCTCCCTAATAGTTTAAATTTTTAGATAAAACAGACATTCACTTATATATGATATGATCTTGGGTTCAAGTCTCATTGCCACTCATTATCTAAAAGAATTTTCCTCTCATGAAAAAGAATTAGGCCCTCATGCAATGAAGCATGTTGAAGATATACTTAAGTTAATAAGATGTACTCTCTGATGGCTTAAACTTTTAGATGAGATGGTCATACAACTAGTTAAATGAAGCAAATTGGGTGCCGAGGGGGTTCAATCGCTGGAAAATTGTGTAAATAGGGCAAAGGGTTCACTTAAACAAGGGAAACTTCTATTATAGCAACAAAGGTGGCACAAAAATTAATTTTATTTGCAAGTATGAATATAGGTATGACATTGTTGCATTTTCTTTTTTATCTCTTTGATAGATTTTCCGGCTCCGCCATTGATGCTAATACCATGCTATGTTGAGTTATGTCTTCAAGATGGGATTTTTACTTTCTTATCTCTTATGCATGTAAACTAACACATAAAACCCAGAGAAAAATATAAGAAAGCAATCAATAAAAAGAAAAAGGGAAAGAGAAATTACTTTGACGTCGTGGGGAGAAGAAGACTCGTAAAAAAAGCTATAGTTCTCGAATCTCATGAAGCAGCCATCAAAGAAAACACGACCGCTGCTGTGGGGAAAGCAACCAGGCAATTGCGTTTTAATGGTAGAAAAACAAATTTCGCAATCATCATTAGTCAGATCGTCCATGCATTGAGCCAAGACGTAAATTCGATTTGGAGGGTACCCTTCTCCATATATGGAAAATTTGTTTTTTCGCATTTCGGGTTCCATTGATACTATTGCATTGACGTAGTTTTGGTTGAATTCTGAAACATTCTCTGCTCGTTCTTCGCCGCAGAATTTATAGACCAGCTCCGTCCGAGGATTCGCAATTGCCGGAAAAATAAAAAAGCTAGAGAGGAGAACGCGTAAGCACAAAACGACGACATTGGCCATTATTAGGAGAGATGTGTTCATCTTGGCTTTTCATTTTTTTCTTCGAATTTCCTTTTGTTTTCAGGAGTAACGTAAGTTTCCTATTGTTAAAAATATTTTTGGTAAATTTACACTTTTAGTCCTAAAACATTGACAAATTCTGATTTTGGCCCTAGTACATTAACTTTCATTTAATTGAACTGTGCAATCCCTCTTCTTGTGAGTTTTCACAGATTTAATGAATTGAACTTTAAATATTAATCATTATATTATTTAATTATTCATGTGTGTTGGCCCAAGTGAAGTTTGTTTTGATGATTGACAAAGGAACTCAAGCATGAACCAGGTCCATACATAGTATACACAGACACAGGCAGATTCGAGCATAAGGGATGCACGTGAAGGAGTAAGCTTAAGTTGTTATATCTGATATCTCTTGATCGAAAAGGTTGCATAAATGATAAGGAGAAAGACTCCTTACTCGAAGAGAACTTTATCCAAGATAAGGAAGGAGTTAGAAGTTGAAGATAACTAGAACTCTTCCACCAAGAAAGAGTATAGCATTGCAACTCTAGTTATTTCCTATTCTACTAACTCTATAAATTGCATGATGTTCTCATTTTACAGGCACGCACAAACGCTGAAGTTAAATTTGAGTTGACAGCAAAATAGCAAGGCATTTTGCAAGCAATTCTTCTGTGATTCAAGTGTGCGAACCTGAAACTACATGAACCTAATAGAAAAACGAGTTCCAAGTGTCTCTATTTTATTCTAGTTTCATTGTAGTAAGTGTTTTCAAATTGTACCTTTCAGCTTTATCTAGAGACAATTGTAGTAGGTACTCTGAGTATTCAAGTTATAGTTAACTTGAAGTTGTCACAACAGTTAGAGGTTGGTTGCCACAATGGGATTAGAGGCAATCCTTAGGTTTACGAAGAGTTTTGTAAATGCTGTTTTGGCTCAGTGATTTAGTGAAGTGTTGGGGAAAATCCTACTGAGTAGTAGGTCGTGCTTTTTTCACCTTTTGAGCCGGGTGTTTTTCACGTAAAATACTTGTGTTCTTTACTTTCCGCATTCACTATTTCCTTACCAGTAGTATAAGGAACACATAGAAGAACCAGATCCTTCTATAATCAGTGCACGCGAAAATTAGACACCACACAATTCACCCCACTCTTGTGTGGTATTGAAGTATAAAATAATAATTGGTATCAGAGCAGGTTCTTCTTGAAGAGGCTTACACCTTAGGAGAAGATCAACATGAGTGCACCACCTGAAAACTGGGAAGGGCAATCAACTGCTAGGCCACCACTTTTAAATGGCAAGTACTACTCTTGTTGAAAAAACAGGATGAGAGATCACATTATAGGAGAGGACTATGAGCTATGGGACATTGTCACCAATGGTCCACTGGCTACCTTGAAGAAAAATGCTGAAGGAGTAGATATGCCAAAGACAAGAGCGAATTGTTTGTGGACTTGGTCCAGATGAGTACATCAGAATCCAAAGTTATACCACTGCTAAGCAAATTTGGGAAACATTGCAAGTGGCTCATGAAGGAACACCTCAGATGAAGAGATCCAGAGGAACTCTACTGTATTCTCAATATGAGAACTTTGCTATGAAGGAAGGAGAAACCATTCAAGAGATGTACACAAGGTTCACTACACTGACAAATGAGCTAAAGTCTCTTGGAAGGACTATTCCTGAAGAAGATAGAGTCGAGAAGATATTGATAGGGTTCTTCCTATCACTTGGGAGAGCAAAATCACCGTCATTCAGGAATCAAAGAATATTGTCACTCTCCCACTAGATGGATTAATTGGAAATCTCACTGCCTATGAACTTAGGAGACAAATCATGAAAATGGATATACCTAAGAAAGAAAAGAGCTTGGCACTTAGAATCACTAAAGGTTCTAATCTAGAAGATGATGAAATGGATATGATCACCAAGGATTTCAAGAAGTACCTGAGGAGAGGAAAATGTTCTTTAAGAAGTGGAAGCTATAGCAAGTCAAAAGCTCCTGAGAAGCAAACCAATGATGGCTACAGGTGTGGAAAGACTGATCACTATATCAAGAACTGTCCTTTATGGGTAATTGAATGGAAGAAGGAAAGAGATGAACGAAGGAACAGGAAGAAGGAACAGGTTCAACCGAAGAAAAGAAATAACAAAAGATCAACTAAGGCTATAGTCGTTGCTTGGGGAGAAAGCTCAGATGATGATGATGAGGACGAACAAACACTTATGGCCATTGGAGAATCTGATGAAGAAACTGAAGTAGGTGTAATTCATCTCAAAGACAAGATTAAATTGTTGTCTAAAGAAAGGTTATCTGAGCTACTACTAGAACTAATTGATAAATCTAAGGATGTAAACAACGAAAAGGAACATTTATCTAAAGAATGTGTGATTTTGAAGGCTAAGTAAAAAAACCTAAAACTTAGGGTTAGTGAAACTGTAAGTGAAAATATTATGTTGAAGAACCAGATTCATGCACTTGACTCAACTGTCCTAGAGCTTAGATTTGTAAATCTAAAACTGAAATTAGGAACAGGTAAAAAGACAGATGATCACACATAACTCACTTCAGAAGAAAATGTAGGAAAAATGAAAGATGAGTTGTACAAAAGGGATGAGAAGGTAAGAATCCTAAAGGAGGATCTAAGCAAGGTCAAGCATGAGCTAGACATAACTTATAAATGGAACAGGTCCTCTGATGCACTTTAATGTCTATAAGAACACCATAGTAGCAACAGAAGAGGACTTGAATTTGGGAACCTGACACATAAGTGGGATCCCAAAAGTAAGTACCTCACACTTCATGAGAAAAAGATTTGCACATACTGTGGTAAAACAGGTCAGTATAAAAGTGAATGCACTGCAAAAGAAAAGGTAAGTCAAAAGAACAAAGAATTTGTTAAAGGGAAGAATAGGCTACCAAGTTGGGGTAAAACGAATTTGATTTATCCTTTTGCCTATAGAAAAGGACCCAAACTAGTTTGGGTTCCTAAGACTAATCCCTGATTTCCTTTTGCAGGTCCAAGTGAAGGGGAGTAGCCAAATATGGTACATGGATAGTGGCTGCTCAAATCACATGATAGGAAGCAAGAACCAGTTCCTTTCACTTGAGGACCTTAAAGGAGGTAATGTCTCCTTTGGAAATGGGAAGAAAGGTGAGATCATTGGGTTTGGAAAAGTAGGTAAGAGTGATTCTCACTACATTAAGAACGTCTACTTGATAGATGGACTGAAGTACAGTCTAATAAGTGTATCATAATTATGTGATAGGGGTAACATGGTAGCATTCACCTATACAAAATGCTTTGTAATTAATCTTATCACTAACAAGATAGTTTTGCAAGGAAAAAGAGTAAATAACATATATATTGTGGATCTATCCACACTTTCAGATAATGAACTCACTTGCTTGAGTGTGTTAGATAATGATCCCCCCTGGCACAAGAGACTTGGACATGCCAGTCTAAGTCAACTCAACAAACTAGTCTCCAAGGAATTGGTGATAGGACTGCCTAACATTAAGTTCAAGGAAGATAAAGTTTGTGAGGCTTTTGCAAAGGGGAAGCAGGTAAGATCCTCTTTCAAAAGCAAGAAAATGGTAAGCACCACCAAGACGATGGAACTGGTCCATATAGATCTTTGTGGACCAATGAGAACATTAAGTAGATGTGGTAAGAGATATGTTATGGTGATTATTGATGATTACTCTAGGTTTACTTGGACACTGTTTCTAACATCTAAATATGAAGCATTTGATATGTTCACTTCTTTTGTTAGAAAAACTCCGAAACAACTAAGTAATCAATTTGCATCAATTAGGTCTGATCATGGTACTGAATTTGAAAATGCTTAATTTGCTGAATTTTGTGATGAGCATGGCATAGATTATAATTTTTCTTCTCCTAGAACTCCACAACAAAATGGAGTGGTTGAAATAAAGAATAATACATTGGAGGAAATGGCTAGGACTATGCTTCTTTCTAGTAAACTTCTGCATAGTTTCTGGGCAGAAGCTCTGAACACTGCATGCTATATCATAAACATGTGCATGACTAGACCTTTTGTTGAGAAGACTCCCTATGAGTTACTTAGAGGGAGAAAGCCAAATATATCCCATCTTAGGGCATTTGGATACAAGTGCTTTGTGCACAATAATGGTAATGACTCCCTAGGTAAGTTTGATCCCAGAAGTGATGAGGGAGTATTCTTGGGATATTCTTTACATAGTAAAGCTTATAAGATTTATAACAAAAGAACTATGTGGGTAGAAGAAAGTGTACATGTAATTTTTGATGAAACTAACATTCTTTCTGAGAGGCAGGAACATGATGATGAAGCAATTGGGCTGGTAAGAAACTCAAATGAAACCACAACCCAAACGGAAGCTTCACTAGAAGAAGGAACAAGTGATGGAACGGGTCCTTCCACCTAGGGCAACTTGACATGGGGAACTGAACAAAGAGGAACTGATCCTCAAACCTAAAGGGAACCTGTCCATGAACCTGTTCCGCAACAACAAAACGTTGAAGGAACATTTAAGGAAAACTAGCTGGTTGTGAAACCGTACAAGTAACAAAGTTCTCATCCCATTGAGAACATAATTACTGATCCAACCTCTGAAATCAAAATCAGATCTTCTTTTGTAGAATCTTTTATGCTTTTGATGCCTTTTTATCTCTTATTAAATCTAAAAATGTTGCTGAGGCTTTGCAGGATGCAGACTGGGTGAATGCAATGCAAGATGAACTCAACCAATTTAAGAGAAGTCAAGTTTAGCATCTGGTACCAAGACCCAAGGACAAATCAGTAATTGGCACAAAATGGGTCTTCAAAAACAAACTTGTCAAAGATGGAATAGTTACAAGGAACAAGGCAAGATTGGTGGTTCAAGGATATAGTCAAGAGGAGGGGATAGACTATGATGAGACCTTTGCTCCAGTTGCAATATTGGAGGCAATTAGACTTCTTATAGACTTTGATGCTTATATGGAATTCACTCTCCATCAGGTGAATGTTA